CACACACACACACACACACACACACACACACACACACACACACACACACACACACACACACACACACACACACACGTGCAAGCACAATTTTAATGTATTATGACAAATATTTAATTTCATGTTAATAGGCCTAAATAATTGCCTATATTTTAAAATATATTGCTACACATGTAGCCTATTGACCAATCTGCAGTTTTCTGTCAGCCGTATTATTTGATTATATGTTTAAATTCTTATATGTTTGAACTCAAAATAATCTTCATGGTCCAGGATCAACATCAGTAAATTTTAATCTTGATGGTCCAGGATCAACATCACTTAACTTGAATCTTGATGGTCCAGGATCAACATCAGTGAACATGAATCTTGATGGTCCAGGATCAACATCAGTGAATTTGAATCTTGATGGTCCAGGATCAACATCAGTGAATTTGAATCTTGATGGTCCAGGATCAACATCAGTAAAATTTAATCTTGATGGTCCAGGATCAACATCAGTGAACTTGAATCTTGATGGTCCAGGATCAACATCAGTAAACTTGAATCTTGATGGTCCAGGATCAACATCAGTGAATTTGAATCTTGATGGTCCAGGATCAACATCAGTGAATTTGAATCTTGATGGTCCAGGATCAACATCAGTGAATATGAATGTTGATGGTCCAGGATCAACATCAGTGAACTTGAATGTTGATGGTCCAGGATCAACATCAGTGAATATGAATCTTGATGGTCCAGGATCAACATCAGTGAACTTGAATGTTGATGGTCCAGGATCAACATCAGTGAATTTGAATCTTGATGGTCCAGGATCAACATCAGTGAAATTTAATCTTGATGGTCCAGGATCAACATCAGTGAACTTGAATCTTGATGGTCCAGGATCAACATCACTGAATTTGAATCTTGATGGTCCAGGATCAACATCAGTGAACTTGAATCTTGATGGTCCAGGATCAACATCAGTGAACTTGAATCTTGATGGTCCAGGATCAACATCAGTGAATTTGAATCTTGATGGTCCAGGATCAACATCAGTGAATTTGAATCTTGATGGTTCAGGATCAACATCAGTGAAATTTAATCTTGATGGTCCAGGATCAACATCAGTGAACTTGAATCTTGATGGTCCAGGATCAACATCAGTGAATTTGAATCTTGATGGTCCAGGATCAACATCAGTGAACTTGAATGTTGATGGTCCAGGATCAACATCAGTGAATTTGAATCTTGATGGTCCAGGATCAACATCAGTGAAATTTAATCTTGATGGTCCAGGATCAACATCAGTGAACTTGAATCTTGATGGTCCAGGATCAACATCAGTGAATTTGAATCTTGATGGTCCAGGATCAACATCAGTGAACTTGAATCTTGATGGTCCAGGATCAACATCAGTGAACTTGAATCTTGATGGTCCAGGATCAACATCACTTAACTTGAATCTTGATGGTCCAGGATCAACATCAGTGAACATGAATCTTGATGGTCCAGGATCAACATCAGTGAATATGAATCTTGATGGTCCAGGATCAACATCAGTGAACTTGAATCTTGATTGTCCAGGATCAACATCAGTGAATTTGAATCTTGATGGTCCAGGATCAATATCAGTGAATTTGAATCTTGATGGTCCAGGATCAACATCAGTGAACTTGAATCTTGATGGTCCAGGATCAACATCAGTGAATATGAATCTTGATGGTCCAGGATCAACATCAGTAAACTTGAATCTTGATGGTCCAGGATCAACATCAGTGAATTTGAATCTTGATGGTCCAGGATCAACATCAGTGAACTTGAATCTTGATGGTCCAGGATCAACATCAGTGAATATGAATCTTGATGGTCCAGGATCAACATCAGTGAACTTGAATCTTGATGGTCCAGTATCAACATCAGTAAACTTGAATCTTGATGGTCCAGGATCAACATCAGTGAATTTGAATCTTGATGGTCCAGGATCAACATCAGTGAATTTGAATCTTGATGGTCCAGGATCAACATCAGTGAACTTGAATCTTGATGGTCCAGGATCAACATCAGTGAATATGAATCTTGATGGTCCAGGATCAACATCAGTAAACTTGAATCTTGATGGTCCAGGATCAACATCAGTGAATTTGAATCTTGATGGTCCAGGATCAACATCAGTGAATATGAATCTTGATGGTCCAGGATCAACATCAGTGAACTTGAATCTTGATGGTCCAGTATCAACATCAGTAAACTTGAATCTTGATGGTCCAGGATCAACATCAGTGAATTTGAATCTTGATGGTCCAGGATCAACATCAGTGAATTTGAATCTTGATGGTCCAGGATCAACATCAGTGAACTTGAATCTTGATGGTCCAGGATCAACATCACTGAATTTAATCTTGATGGTCCAGGATCAACATCACTGAATTTAATCTTGATGGTCCAGGATCAATATCAGTGAATTTGAATCTTGATGGTCCAGGATCAACATCACTGAATTTGAATCTTGATGGTCCAGGATCAACATCAGTGAACTTGAATCTTGATGGTCCAGGATCAACATCAGTGAAATTTATTCTTGATGGTCCAGGATCAACATCAGTGAAATTTATTCTTGATGGTCCAGGATCAACATCACTGAATTTGAATCTCGATGGTTCAGGATCAACATCAGTGAATTTGAATCTTGATGGTCCAGGATCAACATCAGTGAATTTGAATCTCGATGGTCCAGGATCAACATCACTGAATTTGAATCTTGATTGTCCAGGATCAACATCAGTGAAATTTATTCTTGATGGTCCAGGATCAACTTCAGTGAAATTTATTCTTGATGGTCCAGGATCAACATCACTGAATTTGAATCTCGATGGTCCAGGATCAACATCAGTGAATATGAATGTTGATGGTCCAGGATCAACATCAGTGAAATTTAATCTTGTAAAAGATAGTTCAAACTTAGTTACTGGCAACTTATGCTGGGAAACTAGCCTGTTCCTGGGCAGGCTAACTCTCAGGCAACCCTCAAGTCTTAAATTCAAGCTTAATCAAAGTAATGTTAAAATTCACCTGCCATAATCTGATGCCAGATTAACCACTTAAAAATGATTAGAACTTTATAGTCACTCAATAGCAAAAAATAAATAAAAAAAATTATATATATATATATATATAAATATATATATATATATATATATATATATATATATATATATATATATATATATATATATATATATATATATATATATATATATATATATATATATATATATATATATATATATATATATATATATATATATATATATATATATATATATATATATATATATATATATATATATATATATATATATATATATATATATATATATATATATATATATATATATATATATATATATATATATATATATATATATATATATATATATATATATATATATATATATATATATATATATATATATATATATATATATATATATATATATATATATATATATATATATATATATATATATATATATATATATATATATATATATATATATATATATATATATATATATATA